GGAGGGAGGGAGGGAGAGAGAGGGAGAGAGTTCATTCTAAGGCACTGATCCAATATCCATAGAAAATGAGTAGCCCTTGCTGGGCAAGGTTTTCTGAACCCATGCAGAGTGAGGTACTTTCAACTGCCTCCAGTGCGCTCTTCCCAGGAGGAGCCTTCCACCTGTGGGGCCTGATCTTCCAGGCATGCTTGGTAAAATCCGAGCATGCGTGCAAGAGTCAACAGCATTTCCATCAGTTAGGCAAAGGAAGTGACCACCTGCCAGTGGCAATTTGTTGCCACAGCACATGCATTTCAGAAAAGGCACCTGCAAGGCCATACGCCGCTCAGGCAAAGAAAGTGCTTGAAGACTGCCAAAATCCAAAAGAAAAACCAAGCAGCAAAGAACTAGTTAAATCAGAGGAATAAACAGCTGAAGATCTCAGCAAGACAGCATTCTTTCTCCTGAAGAGAAAGAACAAAATTCCCTATGAGGCAACCAACAAGGGCATTCAAAGAGGAACTGTGGGAAGAAGAGGGGACCTAACAATTTATGGCAGTGGAGAGTTCCTACCAAAATTCCTCAGCTATACGATTTTCCTGAAACGAAGCTCTGTGCCGGCACACAGCCCATGTGTGTGATGCACACAGACCTCACAGAGCCACTCCGGTCTCTCACGACTGCCACCGCAAAAACCTAGCCAGGCACAGGGATACGTAGAGGCCTGTGCCCAGTGAGGCGTGTTCCCATTGCTCGTGAGGTGAATGTCATGGGATGCCTAATGGTGCATCTCTACAAACCGGCCTGCAGGGGCTTTTCCCACCCGTTTGTCATGACCTCCGAAAGCTCAGATTAGCAACTGGCTGCCACAGACTTTTGCGAGTTACCTTGTTAGGAAGAGAAAAAGAAGCCTCTCCCTTGAGGCAGGCTGGTCCCGTGTGCTGAAGTAAGAGTAGATCTGAAGAGCAAATAAGACAAGCCAGAAGACCATGAAGAGAACAGGGACCACCAGCTGGTTCCAGAGAGACATTCCCAGGGCCAGGAGGCCGTACACTTCGACCACCTGCCGAGCCAAAGGAAGAGAAGATCATGTTTGCTTCTTCTCAAAATCAGCAGAAGTAAATATTCAATCCATCCTTAACTCAAAAGCATTTGTGGTGGCAGAACTGTGACGGCACATCAGAACCTAAAAACCAGCCAACACCTGCTGTTTCTACACATTCTTACTAACAAATCATTTACAAATATTTTTAAAGTAGCAAGTGTCATAAATCTGAGTCACCACATCCACCATTTACTTAATGGTGCTGACAGCAGTGTGTGAGTGTGCAAGTGCGCATGCATGCACACGTAGTGATCTTTTTTATACTTAAGACATACCATAGTGACTTGGCACTTTCCTGACCCCTAAATAAGAAGCGGCGATCTTCACTTTGCTGCTGCAAGAAGTCTGCATTAAGTCATGTTCCTTTGGCGCATTTGCCACTGAGCCAAGGGAAGATCCTCACACCTCTGAACTCTGCAATGGTCTTTGAGAAGTAGTGTGGAGCAATATGGGGTGAGAAACTCCAACATGTTGCCTCAGAAAGCTATAAGCAAGTGCGTTTTCACAGACGCTTCTGTGGCTGAGGCAAGGCAATGCTGTGGGGACTTGGTGGTCCCCCAAGAGTTCTTTGGGGAGCTCAGGCTCCAGCACTCACAAGCACTCAGCAGAGGCAGAAAACTACTACACTGAGATGATGGTGTGGCTGTTTTAGGGGAGAGAACATTTAAAAGGGGCTTAAGGACAATTTTATTTTTATTTGATTTATTCTACACATATCCAGCCTTTTTTCCTGCAAGGAAGATAAGGCTGCTTACACAACCCTCCTCTCCATTTGCTTTCCTCACAACAGCCCTGTGAGGCAGGTTAAGCTGAGTCAGGGACTGGCCCAGAGTCACCTTGGAGGTTTCAGTGGCCCAGTGGGGACCAGAACCCTCATTTCCCGACTCCCAATCCAACTCGCTAACCTCTAGCTGTCCTCTTCAGAAGTAACACTACATGTTACAGAATGTGCATCTTTAGAAGGTCTCTTTCTAAAGCTGGGGCTTTTTGGCTAGTTCTGGGAAAGAGAGATACTTTCAGGATCCAGCTGCTACTTCTGCTCTGGAAGGCTTTTTCCACAGATTGCACTGGAAAGCATTTGTGGCTTCTCCAGGGCTGCTTTCCTGACAGAGGGACAAGTATGCAGCGCTGTGAGAAAATGGGAGACAGTAAGAAGCAGCTCCCTAAGTAGGACAACCAGAATCTAGCCTGCATGCGGGCTGGGGAGCTATGCAGTCAGTCTCCCCTATACTCTCCACTGCAGAGACGTGCGTTAAGAAGCGCAAGGCTTTGGAGACTTGGCTGCAAGCAGGATGAGCCAGTTTAAATTCCACTTGGGTGCATTTTTCATCTGGCATAAAACTCCCCATCAATAAAAATGTCACTTCCAAGTCCCAGAAAGAAACTGAGGAGCCAAATATTGACTTACACTTAATTAATTCAAGCTAAGTAAAGGCAACCAATCATTTAAGTGAGAGCAACTGGAATGCAAACTTAGAAAATTATTGTTGAGCCAGATTGGGGCAATCTGCAACAAGACAAGAGCTGATCTGGAATAGATAGGATAACTAGCCTTGATTAGCAATGTTTTTTTAGAATTAATTATATTTTAGCATAAACCCTGTCTAATTTTGATTTCTGTGTGTGCATGTGTTGTATGTATATATGTATACATCCTTATTTTAGGAAAATAAGATTCTAATTACTTGTTATCAGTAAAAATTGTTATTTGTAACCTGAAATTACAGTAGCTTAGAATCATAACACAAAGCCAATTCTGAGCTATAATTATATTCTGATTGCCAGCATATTGTCTGTGATGCAATTTAAGGATTAAAATTAACTTAGTGGCAATTGTGTTCCCTTATTACACCATTCCAGTCTCTCTGGCCTGCTCTGCATACTGCTGTTCTTAAGCACAGTTTATTTTTTTATTTGCACCTTTACTAACCAAATAGCAGATAATAAACATCTTTCAGATTAATGCCACTGGATTGAGTCCAATGTAGTTTCCCCACTGATGGAACGTCTTTCATCAGTGGAATCAGGAGGGTGGCAGTGTCTGCCTTCCCCCACCCCTCACCGTATGCTCTCAATATCTGCTGTGGAGGACTGGTGACCCCGTGGAACCGATTTATGGGGGTCATACAGGGCTGCAGGGGGGAAAAAAAGAGGGAGACAATCTCACTATGCAAATGGACACACAAACACACTGCTATCCCTTAGACTTAGGTTGTACTGTTTATACTGTTATCATGTGTGCATGTTTTCCTATGAATGATCTTGAATGAATCTGTTACATTTTAATATAAACAAATTAAATATGGAATAAATGCAAAGACTACACGTTTTAGATGCTATGTAATGCATTCTCTCCAAACCTACAAGCTCTGTATGACGGCAAAGGTCCACAGTCTGTGCCCAGAACATCTGGGGGAAGGCTATTTGTCATAAGCTGGAATAGTAAAGAATATTTGTCATAAACTGGAAACAGTCGCTAAGATACTCCCTCTCCATGAAATCCTCAGAACAGTTTCTGGATACAAGCTGGTTGCTGGTATTTTAAGAGGCAGAAGCTTATCCAACAGGCAGAGTAATGCTATTGTAACTGTAACACTAGCATGGGAGCCAGCAGTCTGTGGTGCCTGGTTGACAGGTGTTGGGGGTTGTGGTCCAACCCATGCGAAGGGTTCCAGGCTGGGGAAGGCCGGCTACGGACTGAGCTTTAACACTGGGCAGATCAAGGTGAAAACCCCTGTGCTGGTAACTGTCCGTCAGGCATTCTAGCCTACTCCATAGGGTGGCTGTGAGGACAAAAAGTAGGAGAGAACCATGTACACTGCCTAAGCTGCTTAGCGGAAGGGAGGGCTACAAATACAATACAACGAACTCCCTCAGTGCAACAACAGCTCCACAACCTGCCAATATATATGGATCCATGCTGTTATCCACAGTGAGGATGTCACTGTGAAAACCAAGAAAGGAGAAAACCAAGAAAGGCAACGTGGCCATGCAGAATAGGACAACATGAAAACAACAAGTATGTTATGCATGCATTGCGTACAATCATTGTTCATATTCCAATATTTAATTTGGATTAATTATCCATAAAGTCAGGCTGCTGTCTGAAAGAGCTTTTGAGTTTTATGCACGTTTTAAAAAACTGGGTAGCAAGTTTGCTATTAAAAAGGAGCAGGCCATCTTGTTAATTAACAAGTTGATGGTTATTTATAGGTCTTCAATTCTGTAGCTACATTTGAACCTGCTGCAATGTAATTAGTTATTTCAGTACTTGATGAACTTCACAATTCTGGATACAATGTCTTTTTGGGTCCTGAAGATTCATTCCACACACGGAGAGACACACAACAGAAAAGCGGTAATACTTAGAAATAGCAAGCCGACTTCATAGTTAGCACACTGCAATTACTGTCAAAGTGTGACATTGTTTTCAGATAAAATTTCACATAGAAGAAAGCAGTGTAACAGTAAAAGTGTTAAGAACTGTAAGCATTAAGGTTTCTACTAATTCACTGCAGTGGCCAAACTGAAATCTAGAGCAGTTCTTTACACATTCAGCAATGAATCTCTCCCCTGTATAAAGCTAAGAAAGTGTTTGGGATCTTATTTAAAAGCACAGCAGTTAGTAGTAACTCAGATTACCCAGTTTAGACAGGGCTCTCTCTTGCATTTGATCTCTTGAAAACTAACACCACCACCACCACCACAACCCTAAACATAACCAAATGCCCCTTAGCAGTTACAACATTCCAATACAGTTCTTCTGCATCAAGAACTCATACTTTCAGCTGAGAGCCCTTAAGTGTTAAGTAACCGATGAGAAAAGCTTAGTCCTTAGAAACCAAGCTTGAGGGCACAATCCAACAATGCTGCCCCTAACACTTTGGACTTGTGAGGATTATGACCATCCTGTGCAGGGCAGAAAGAGGTAACCTTCAGCAGCAAGATGCTGCATTTCAGCAGTCTAGTTGTGAGATGCCACCAAGACAGACAACTCTTGGTGTTGCAGCTCTCTTTCCCTCTCCATTACTGGAGCGCTCCTTGGCATCCTCATCTGAGGCTGCTCTTATAACCTCTGAGAAGTAGCTGGTAAGGTTCTTTCTATGCTAGCTGCGAGGGGTGGGCAGGGTACTCCCAGTGAAAAGTTCCAGCTCTGACATCAGGAATATTTTACAGTGTCAGAACTGGGACTCCAAAAACTCTTATGGTTCTCTTGATGCTGTCTAAGGGCAATAGGATTACTATGTAAGTCAATTAAATTCCAAAATTCCTGTTAGTTTATTAGGCCATACTTCAAAAGTCAGTCTAAGGTTAATACACTGAAGGGTTTAAAGATATTAAAGTAATATGGACTTGAAATGTCTTCTCCTTTTTCTTTTCTTGCATGTATATTCCACCTTTTCTTATTCTTGCAAGGTGGCTTACAGGGTTCTCCTCCTCTCCATTTTGTCCTTACACCAACAACCCTGTGAGGTAGTTTAGGCTGAGATGCAGTGACTTGCCCAAAACTACCCAGTGAACTTTGTGGCCCAGTAGGGACTAGAATGCAGATCTCCTGAATTCCCAGTCCAGCACTCTCAGCCACTATACTACACTGGCTCTCAGTGATGCCCTTTTTTATGGTTGATGAGCTTTTCCTTCAAAATTAGTAATATTTCATTGAAAACTTAGTACAGGATTTTCTAGGTTTCGGTAAAATCAGCATCCAACAATTTCTAATCCTGAAGGGCACAGGAGCTGTGAGCCCACCAACCAGGAGAGACATTTTGCCTTTAAACTGGCTGAGAAACCTGTTGAAGAAGTAATATACTATCACCCTTGAACAGTGACTATAGACTGTCATTTGTCCCAGCTCACTGGTTAAGTTAGTTGACTTAAGAAGTGCAAAAGTTCTTTCTTTCTAGAAGTACAGAAACCAGCAACCTGAAGATCATAATTTCTGCTCAAAAGCTGCTTTTATGGTTCAGGTCAAGAGAACATTTATTTCTTTTCAGATCTTCAGAAACATGTAAAGTCTCACATTAAAAAATGGCTGGGCTTTTCATTTTATACATTCTTGCCTAATATATTACATGCACTATTGACTACTATCTAAAACCTGAACATTGGAGGGGTAAATAAAACTTATATGAACACCACATTTCAAGAATACACATCTAGACATAAGAATCTTATCATTTACTACTTTCAATATACCCCTTACCTGGACAAGTTCCCTATATGCAGACTTGGCCAGATTGTATGGTACCAGAAGATTGGATGCCAGAAAATAGAGAACTTCCAAGCCAGTGAAAATCATTGCAAATTTGTTGATGATAACAATAGTTTCCAGAGGGACTAGGCAAAGCCGCGCCAGCAGAGGGAGCATGTGAGCAGAGAAGAGCCAGATCTGTTTGGTTTTCATGACACAGGAGCATAGGGTGCATACCACAAGCTGACCTGGATATGACATAGAAAAATGAATAGCAAAACCCTTTCACTTAAAAGCATACAGTGTCTTAATATCACTTCCTTCCCTCTCCCCATGAAAGCTTAGCAAACTCACACCTCAAATATAGCCAGAAACATGTTGAAATAATGAATAAATCTGCTATTTTGACTAAATGCACAGTCCTTCTCATAAAGCAAGGGTGAGATAACCGACAGCAAAGTTGTAATTAGTGTTCTTTTTAAAATTGTACACCATTGTTTAACCCCAAATTTTAAAAGCTGTGCATACAAAACCAAGCACATTTGCTACGAAGGCATTGTTCAGTCAGACAACCTACTATTAACAAAAGCAAAACAGCTTTTGTAGCATACTGCGTATTTTGTACAAATATATGACAACTGTAACAAAAAGGCAATCCCAGGCAGGGATTCTAAGGGCTTCCTTATGGATCTGCTATCTATATACTCAGGTTAACAGTGCATTCCTAAAGATGTTTGCTCAGAAATATCTAGCTTCATTAATTTCACAGATTAATGCTTCCTCAGATCTCAAATTCTGAGCAAAAGATATATCTTATCAAGCTAATTAAGATGCATTGTTTACACTTATTACACAAATATTAGCACAAGAAGAAAAATATAGAAGAGACTTGACTTGAATACTATGTATTAAATACTATTTATTAATTTATTATTTATTAATATTAAGATCCATTCTGACAATAAGCAGTATTGACTGGTTACAATAACTGGGATTATTTAGCTTATAAAAAGGCAAGTAAAAGAAAAACATGATAGATGTGTTTAAAATTATGCAGGGTGTGAAGAAAGTAGAGAGGGAGACATTTTTCTCCCTCTTCCACATCACTCAAACCTGGGGTCACCCCATGAAGGTGGGAGGCTCAGGTCAGATAGTAGGAAGTACTTCTTCAGTCAATGTACAGTTAAACTATGGAATTCACTGCCATGGGAAGTAGGGATGGCTGCCAATCTGGATGGCTTTAAAAAACACTGGCCAGATTCAAGAGGGAGGTGGCTACCAGTGGCTACTAGCCTTCGCTAGTTGTGTGCTACCTCTTTACCAGAGGTGGCCTGCCTGCATATGCCAGCTGCTCAGGAACACGGGCAGGAAGAGGTCTTGCACCCATCCTGCTCCAGCGATCCTGTGGGCAGCTGGCTTGCTACTGTGCATACAGAATGCTAGACTAGATGGACCCTGGTCTGATCCCACACGGCTCTTCTTGTGTTCTTATTCAGCACAGATAAAAGGACATAGTTCTTCCCACAGGGCATGGTTAAACTATGGAATTCACTGGCAAAGGAAGTAGTAGTGATGGCCACCAATGTGGATGCCTTAAAAGGAAACAGGACAAATTCATGGAGGCACCTGTGAACCTTTGGTCTGATCCATCATGGCTGTTCTTATTTTATTACTACAGCTTATTGCTAGGCTGGGTAATTCAGACCAATCAAGTATGTGTCTTAGTTTTCAAACTTTCATTTTCTTCTCCTGATCCTTCATTTTCAGACCACCTAATCTGATACAGGCATTTTGGAGAACCTGCACATTCTTTTATGGACTGTTTACTAGTTCTAACGAAAACATTGCTCAATTCTGCCCCCCTCCCCATGCACCACTACATCTTTGTGGGCTGTGGGTTTGGTTCGGTTTGTTTTGCACTGCACAGGTGACAAACAATTTAGTGGAGTGAGAGTGCATACTTGGCCACGTGCATGCAGCCTTGGCCACTGCTCCCTTGCACATTCTAGGTCACGTCAAAATGGATTCTGATGTATCACTTCCTTATTCTGGGATCTACCTATCTATATGAAATTATTTTAAAAGCAATCAGGTGACATGGCTGTTTGTTCTTCCATTGAGATTCCCTCTGAATTATTTCTTTTTTAAAAATCAGTTTAAGAACAGGAGAGTAACTGTATGGGTAACTAGTATGCTTGGACATATTAGAGACATGCCCCACCCACCCACTTATCAAAGACTTTATCAGTGGAGGTATTTATTTAGGTGGAAATCCCTTTTGGAAAGATCAGTTGGCATGACTTTGCCTTCATCTCTAAAACCTTGCTAGTTTATTATGCTCAGAAACCACATGAAGCGACACAAAAGAGATGTCTTAAAATATTACACAATAAGCCTTTTAAGGGCATCAAAGCCTTGTGTGGTGACATCCATGCCATCAGCGACATGAGAAAATGATGCTTCCCATAATTCCTTTTCCCATGCAAGCTGCTTGTGTAGCTTCTCTGTCCCCTGGAGTGTGTCCTGTGCCATTCTTGGGGGTTGCAAAGTGTTAATACCCATCCTCTAGTTTCAACTAGAAAAAAAGGCATCTCCTCTTTTCTAGCCATCAACTGAATACTGGCTGAATGTTAAAGCAAAGCCAAGTAAAGCAAAGACAATTTGGAATTCTAACGTGCGTATCTTAGCGGATGTCAGGCTGCTCTGTACCCATCTATAACTAAGTAGAAAATGGAATATGATCCACACAACACAGATGACAAAACAGCATGAGAGTGAATAATGCAAGGCAGATACCCAACTGGCCATGTGCCTGGCAACTGTGCAGGTGGTGTTAAGCGCTGTATTTCTAATGGACAGGAACCCCAGGCCAGCCAGGGTTCCTGGTCTCAAGGGAGAGTCCTACAGACAGATACAGACAAACAGGGTCCACTCTCACCAATGCCAAACATATGTCCGTTATGGATGCAGATACTTGAGGTGTAAGTGGGGGGTGAGGGGAATGGTCATGAGCATGCAGAACCCACCAACAGACTTCCAGAATGCTCTCAAACCTCACATGAGTTGTGTAATTTCAGCTGCTTGTTCTATGTATTTAAAATTATTCCAAGTCACCTTTTAGTGTGGAGCTTTTATTACATAGCTAAAACCTATATTTTGCTGCTGAGTTAATAATGTTGGCATACAAAATGTTGGAAGAATCAAAAGCGTGATCCTGAAAGGGCATTTTTCAAATGTTATAAGCATTTATGGCTTAAGCATAGGGGTGTGTATGTTTTAATGTAATGTGCCACAGACACCAAAGCAAGCCCTACCACACCAAGGCAAGTACCACCATACTCTTTTTGACACACTCTGCAACAGCAATATAGTTGAGATAGAAGAGACACACATGAGCAACAGATACGCCCACAGCTATAGGGAAGACCACACCAAATAGTCCAACACCTACATGCAATGCTGAGACCATTGAAAGAAAAGGACATTTTCTGAATTGTTACATGCTGAGGTCTTTCAAGTACATTGCCTGCTTGATGGCCTGCAAAATGCATGCAGTTATCATCCCTTTCAAATGACCAATATGGATTCTTGCTCTTAGATGTGGCACTCAAGAGCCAGGCAGGAAATTTGGACGCCACTTCAGAATTCTGCTTTGCCCTGAAAAGCCCCCCAGAGGCACACCGGTTATTACAGAAACGTTTTGCCTTGCTAGTAGGTCCTCCCCACTCAAGGATGCCTGGTAGGGGTGGGGTGGGGGGGCACTGAAGGGAGTTGTAGGAGCAGTGAGGTGCCTGATCCACATGCTTACTGGGGACTTGCTTGAAAAGGAAACACGTGCCCAGGCCTGTTTTCCCACAACGCTTACAAGGAAGGACGACAAAAACTAAATAAAAACAGGACATGTGCCGAAGGGACTTCACATACTAGTTGTTTCAAGTATGATCTATTATCCCTATCACACACCATGTATAGCCTGCCTTTCTTCTTCTTGTGATCTGGCCTTTTTGTTTCTGCTGGAACAAACTGGAATCATGTAGAAACCAAGAGTAAGAAGTAACTTCAGAAATCTATCCAGGGGAGATAATAATTCTGTTCAAAATCAAAGTTTTTATACTGACAGAAAACAAACTGCTTCTGGTAATAAAAGTGTGCTTTTGAAACAGATGTTGAGTTTTAGGCATGCATGTTTTAGTTCTGAGTTTTAGGCAGCAGAAAATAAGAGATACCTGATTTTTAAAACTCTAGGCAGAAGCTCCTCAGCAACATGCATTATTCTGTCGCCCAAACAAACATTCACAACAGTCCTCCACCCCTGGGCAGCTGGGACTTTTTAACATGAAAACAGTCAGATATGACCAGGTGTTCATGCACTTGTACAAACACCTGGTCATTTACTTTATTTTAAAATACTGTATGTATTTTATAATATTTTCTCAGGTGAGAGCTACAATTTGGCTACCTGCCAAATAGGAACTGGGAAAGAGTTACTGAACGAACAGAGTTATTGCAACATTCAAGTTGAACAGCTTTCTGGCTTTTAAAATGTCAGTTAAATTAGATGCTTTCCTTCTTGTTAAAAATACACTTTAGACACAAAAAGAAATAGACTGTAAAATGACAAAGGGTTCCTGGTTGTTTGTGTTTTTTTCATAATTCTAGAAATGGTGGGTGTTGCAAAATCAGTCTGAAAAGAAAGGCAGAAGTGAGACTTTTGTGCCCCATTAGAACATTCAACCTTAAAGAGACATTCAGATCTTCTTTTTCAAAAACTAGAACCCATTCAAGAATTCATTCACTCACGAAAAAGACTAACAAGGTGAGACTTCTTATTGATGGATATAGTGTACAGTTTCCGTGAGTGAGCTGTTAAGGAAGTGACTGCCAGAAGGCCAACTGATTGCCAGGCAGAGCAGCTGTGAGATTCATATAAAGCATAGGCTGACAAATCCCTTTGAAGCTGCAGGGCATTTTTTGCTTTTGAAAGGAGGAACCAATAACTTCCAAGTCTTTAAAAAACAGTCAAAGCCACAAGGCCACAGTGGAAAAAGCACCACCAAACCAGCCTTAAGTATGCTGTCAACTTCTCTGAACAACCTAAGCCAGTAAATACTCTGGCCCAGCATGCCTTTCTATCTTCTTTGAAGTGTTCTATTTTCTTTAAAGCATGGAATCATTTATGGGGCATTTATACTTCTAGAAAACACTAGAGGGATTCTGTAGCACGAAAGTCAGCAGATGCCACCATCTGATTGACGCAACTTGTAGCATATAAGCCCTGTGTGTGGATTAGTCACATGTAGGGCACTCATATGTAGCCATGAGAACATGGCCGCTCTCCTGGCCCTGTTCCTGCTGTCATGCCCCTGGGCTCGCTCTGACCCCTCCCTACCTGAGGATACAGGTATGCCTCTGCTTGCACTCAGCGGCACCACGCAGTCCAACCTAGCCCAGAAGCCCAGTGTTGGGGCATGGCCAGGGACGTGACCCCACTCTTGTATCTAAACACAAATGTCCCGTACATGAATAATGCATCCATATGGCTACAGTGATTCAGCAGCTTGGGCCCAGTTTAAATAAGCAGGAAATCATGGCTTTCTGCTACTACATGCATGAGTCAAAATGCCACCCTGGCCTACGGAACCGTCCAAAATCCTTGCTACTAATTTTGTTTTCTAATGCTATCAATGCATCACAGAGTTGCTATGATAAACATAGCAGAGAAACATGGCAAAAATGTGTTTGGGGTGATTTGAGGATACTTTTGATGATATGAAATGAATTTTAGCAATAGATCAGATTTCATTATTTTTATATATTCAGCAAGACCATCACAAAAGCAGCATTTAACAGAAGATACTAGATATTTCAACACTTAGACAGTGTTCCATATCCAAACAGATTCCATAGTGGTAAACAATAAAAGGTAAAGAGACAAAAATAATGAAACAACCATATTAACTTACTCTTAAAAACAGAGTACCAATAAAAAAGCAACTGCTCAGTCAAGGAAAGCCTGATGAAATAAAGATGCCTTCAGGAGGCATTGAGAACAACAAGGTGTTAGTGCCTGCCTGAACTCCAGAGATAAGGAGGAATTCCACAGAAAGGGGCCACCACACTAAAGGCTCTTCCCCAGGTGGACACCAGTCAGGCCAAAGGTCCTTGCAGGACCACTGGGAACATGCCTGCTGAGCACTCAGTGACGGGGCAGGTCGATAAGGAAGAAGTTGCTGTGTCACATATCCTGATGCAAAGGTGCTGAGGGCTTTATATGCTAGTATAAAAACTTAAACTGGCCCAGTGACCAAGAGGCAGCCAGTGCATTTCCCTGTGCAAAGGAGTCACATGCTGACAAGGGGCAGCTCATAAAGACAGCTGAGCTGCTGCATTCTGCACTCCCTGTAGCTTCCAGACCAGCCCTAAAGGCAGCCTCACAAATAGTGCCTTGCAGTAATCCAGTCTGAGGTTACTAGTACATCCGTGTGGTCAAGCTAGCAGGGTTCTGGAGGGGGCTGATGAACCAGCTGAAGCTGATGAAGGGCACTCTCAGCCACCACAACTATTTAGACCCTGGGTCCTCAAACTATGGCCCGGGGGCTGGATCCGGCCTGCATGCCCATTTGGACCTGCCGCACGCGCACTCACATGCGCACCCGCCGCCGCCTACCTTGCCCCATGCGCGGTTTGCTCGCTCAGAGGAAACTATCTCCAAGTGAGCAAGCTGCTGCCTCGCACACCCACCTCACAGTGCATGCCCGCCCCCACCTCGCCTCCCCGCCCCCGCCCCAGCGCACATGTATGCACCGCCCCACCCCCACACCGGCCCGCGCGTACGACCAGGCACCATCTTTCCGGCCCGCGCCCAGCACCGGCAGCTTTCAACTGGCCCCCTGGTTTAGATCAACTGGAAGGATGGATCTAGGTCTGTGGTGGCGAGCCTACGGCACACGTGCCACAGCAGGGACACAGAGCCCTCTCTGTCCGCACATGAGCCAAGTCACCCCAGCGTTGCCCCAGCAGCTGAGCATCAGATAACAGCACATATAGGGGCTATGCACGTGCTCAGAAAGGAGTAGCAGCGCCAGGCAATGACGTCACGAGCTGCGACTCATTAGCCGCAACTCATCTGAGCTTTCACATGGCCGGTCAGTGCGCTGCCAAGGTGTGTGTGTGTGTGTGTGTGTGCACGCACGCGCACCTGGACTGGCTGTGAGTTTTCATACATTCATTTTTATTAACACAAGATTTTAGCATAGAGTTTTCTTATGAAAATTTGAAATTTAATATCTAAGATTTAGCAAAGAGATGTTCTAATTATGAGACTGAGATTCTTTTAATCTTGTGCTGTCCTCCTGGCATATTTGAATCTGCAGTGTTGGCACTTTGCGATAAATAAGTCGGTTTTGGGTTGCAGTTTGGGCACTCGGTCTCTAAAAGGTTTGCCATCACTGATCTAGGTGTTCCTCCAGAATAAAAACCTGGGCTTTCCAAGGAAGTGCAGGACCATCCAAACAGGCAATGAGCCTGTCTCACAGACTTGAGAACCACCCACTCACTTCAGTTTACTGGCCCGCATCTAGCCCACTGCTGAGTCTAGACCGATCCAGAACATGAATGGCCTCGCCTGATTCAGATGTTACAGGTGAACAGAGCTGTGTGCCATGAGCACACTGACTGCACTTGGTTCCAGATCCTCTAATGACCTCTCCCTATGCCTTCATATGGATGCTGAACACCACTGGGGACAAGGTGGTCCTCTGTGGAACCCCACAGCTAAACGGCCAGGGGGCGGAGGAACAGTCACCCACCACGACTCTCTGAAGTGACCCCTCTGGTGAGACCAGAACCACATTAGCAGGATGCAGCAACTCAGATCGATCTCCCAGAACTGGGCAGATGGTGGTATCAGACACCCTAACCGGGACAGCACTAAAAATAGCATCAGGTTTGCTGCAGAGACAAGCAATTTTGTCCTCGGAGTGCAATACAAAAAGGTCACAGCTTCTCCTTCAAGGGACAGAGGCTCCATTCACCAGGGAGAGTGGGAAGGGCTTTGCAGGAACAATTTGACAACACAAAGGAGGTGGCAAATTAAGCCTTAGGGACTCGGGGTGCCGGGGGGGGGGGGGGGGGGGGGCAGCAGCAGTATCCCGAACTTGTCACTAATGAATTAAACCAACCACCACTCTTGGCGGGCATCCCGGAGCCATCATGCCTGGGATTCTAAAGAAGATGAAGAGGGAAGCCTTCAAGAAGCAGAGATGGAAGTTCTGGAAAACCAGGGAGAGGTACAGGCCTTTCAAGTATCTTCAGGGTCATTGTCCACAGGTTCTCAGGCCAACCAGGATTGATTTGGCAGGGATGGGGGGAGTCAACGAAGAGGGGGAGAGAGAGCTGTTCCATTGCCCAGTCCTGACCACATAATGGGGCACTGGAAGAAACAAGCTGTCCAGTTAGAGGGCTTGCGTAGGTCTTGCCAGCTGGCCCTTCACCAGTGGGAGCTACCTTGAGGGAAGGATTCTGGGAAGGAGTTCCCAGTCTGGGCTCAACTATCTTTTGACACGGGCAAAGGTTAAGGGAGAGGACCTTCAGAGTTGATTTGTCTTGTAACTGCAAAGTGTGCCAATAAAGATCTGCTTTGCAAAGAGACAGTATGGTGTTTCAGAGTCTAAGGGCAAGACGGGGAAAGGCAAGCTCACAACAAACACCAGAAACAATCCCTCAAGGCCCACTTCAGGGCAAAGTGGTTTCCAGGTGAAAGAGAAGTTCTGCAAATTATGACAACTCTCACCTCCCCTCCAGCCAGTATTGGTCCTGCACTGAGTAAACAGGTGGGCAAAGCTGGTTCAGGTCAACCCCACCCAAGCTGCAGTGGGACCTGTGAGATCAACTTTTTCATCCACAATTAAATCACAAATGAGTGCAAGCTTATTGTAGACCAAACTGGTGTTAAACAGCAGCAATGCAAGAAAGGAGGACTGAGTGCATGAGCTTCCAAATGCACAAGAGCTGAGGACGGGACAGACGGCAAAGAGGGTACTGAATATCTGTAACCCACTGTACTCTAACACCCCAAACCCTGTACTCCTGCTGTAACTCCTTCTGCCCCATCAATGAATACTGGCACCACTTCTATGTGTCCCTCTGTGTCCCCAGAGTTTGCTAGGGACATGCTTAGCACATCAAAGCTTCCCACACACTCTCAGCAGCCACTAACAGCACAAACATCCACTCAGCTGCTCAGAACCTCAGACACTCCATTCCTCCAAACAGTCCGACACAACCAACCCAGCACGATCACAGATTATACCCTGGGTGTATAACCAGGCACTGGTCATGTATGGGAAATCAGGCTATATATTAATACAAAGAAAACAAATATAAGCTGTCCTGAGGCTTTTTGCAAATAGGACGGCATATAAATATTTTAAATAAATAAATAAACGTAAAATCACCAACCCAGAGACTGTAGAATAAGCTTCATGGAAGTACTGAGCAAAGAACATGGTGCCCCTTGGAAGTCATTGATATTTGGACATACTCACCTATTAAGGCGGTCATAAAACGATTCATGGAAAGAGGCTCTAAGTACATTGGCCCTTCATAGCCAGATTCCAGTTCACTTCTCACATAATCCCTGAAGAACATAACCAACGACATATTGAGACAAGTTTAAAAATGGATACACTTAATATTCTGCTTATTTGAGATAGCAAAACTGAATGGTTTGCAAAAATAGATGGCAGGCATTAGTTTATTTTATTGACTAACTATATCAACACTCACAATATTTTTATAGGCGTTTGTTTGTTTGTTTATTTATTTATTTAGAAAATTTCTATGCCGCCCCATTCGCCGAACCCTCGGGGCGGCTCACAAAACATTAAAATATAATGCATTAAAAATATAAAACGAATTAACAATATAAAATAAGTCACCCTGGCCAAAGAATAAAATAAGGAAATAATATTAGCAATTAAAATGACGTTTGAATAAAAAATTTAAGCACCCTTGATCTGTTGCACGCAGCTTCCTATACTGCTTGGCTAAAAATTGCATGTTTCTTTTCCTCTGCAAGTGCACAGTGAGCAACAGGAACAGGGAACCGTAAAGGGTCCAGGGGGTTTGCCTTGCCTAAGTACTCTTATGGGCCAATCTCCCTTTTTCATAGCTCTGTTTTAAATGGTTTCAGAAACCATCTTATGGATCATGCTCTTTTTCTGCTTCAGAGTTTGGAACAAAATTGGAACAAAATGTTCTTGCAGTACTTTCAAGCACAGAAGCTTTCATTTGTGTAACTAAACTTCTGAATTCCAACCCAAGTACTCAATAATGACAGAACAAAACAAGGCACAAAAGGGATTGTATAATCAAGGGTAAGGTTGTTCAGCTAAGAACTGGAGAGAGGCTGTGCATTAACTTGCTTGCATTGGTAACTGTACTTTTTTTTGCATCTGACGAATAATCATGTGGGTGGTTTCTTGAGATGAAATCTACTTTGATCTTTTTACTTTGAAACAACCATGCCTAGAGACAGTACACTGAAAGCCAACAGGCTAAATTTGGGAGAGCCAGCTTCAAACTTCAACTGACTTTATTAGATGCACTTGGGCATGCCTGCTTGCTCAGCTCAAATTCTTTTATTTGTAAAAGGAGAGTAAAAGTTCAGAAGGTTGATCACTTAGGACTACATAGTGGCTGCCCAATCCTACAGACTGTTCCTGAGAATTATGGCTGGCAGAATTTCCTCCTTGATCATGACTATTAAGAGTGCAGCTTTATTGTGCAAACTGATGTCTCTTCCTTTATCCATGTGTACAACTCGAACAACAATCTCCTTTTGTTTGCTGCAAGGACAAATGAGGCAGACAGAAAGGCATGCAAGGACTGCTATAAAGAAAGGGTGGAGAGGAGGATCCACACAATTAATGTAATTGCATGCTATCTTTTCAGATTTACCCAAAAGTAAACAAATCCTATCAAATTCTCATTTCAGTCAGTAGAGACATGGAGAGCTGGCAAGGAAAGGCAAAAATGCAATGTGGGAAAATACTGAAGCAAAGCTCCATTCCTTCCTGCTGTCCCAAAAGTCTGTGGTTAAATATGTCACAAAGCTTGGCTTTTCCTGCTGATCAGCTTAAAATTCTCCTAACAGGCAGCAACAGCAGTTGCAGTCCATGGGCTGTTGGGGATAAGTGGGAGAAGACAGAAGCGTTGCTCGCACCTCTCCAGCCACTTTTAATCAACAACTACAATTGGCTGCTCCTAGGTTGTTGAGTGCAACCTATGAACGTGGGCTGTTTTGGAGCTAAACAAACCAGCAGTTAACCCCTCACTAAAGCAATAAACACCGTGACATTTAGCCCCTAAATAACTCAGCAGTCTGGTTTTGCACATCATGCTCAACAGCCTTGGAAGCAACTGATCATAGGTTGCTGATTAAAAGTGGGCACTTCTCACTCACTCCTGCCCATGCATGGCAATCGATGGGTTGTTTAAACCATGGGTTGTCATTATGTGTGAATCAGGTTAAAGTCTGCAATTTGAAAAGGTGACTAAGTGCCAAGCTACATGTTACATATAGCCCCACAATACTATATGCAGATAGGTCTTTTTCTCCCCTCACCCCATAGGAAATCTCTATAGCAGGGGTCTCAAACTCAACTTAACTGGGGGCCGCTGGAAGTAGAGTCTGGGTGAGGCTTGGCCACATCAAGCATTCCACCACCGTGGTGGTGGTGGTGGGCCGCTCATCCCGTGTCCGGCCCGGGCGCCGCCGGCGCTTTGGAGGCCGCAGGGCCCCTCCCCTGTGCCCCGCCCCTCCCAGCAAGTGGGCCGCGAGTTTGAGACCCCTGCTCTATAGAATGCATCAATCTTCAGCGGAGAAGCAACTGGAATGTGCCACCTAACCCTTTCCATGCCAGCCTTCCCTGTATCCCTAAGCCATTTTCCTTCCTATATGGTGAAAATGAGGGGGCCTGGAATATTTTCTCCCTGTGAATGGAAATTACCTCTATAATGTGCTTTTGATACAACACAACACTAGCAGTACCAGTGATAAACAGAGTGCTGCTTCTGCTGAACCCCTACTCTGATTATGATTACTGCTTCCCATGAATCTTTTTTCTTGAGGAAAGAAAAAATTATGAAACAATAGATGCTGAAAACTAGCTGGATGTGGTGCTTATGAGCTTAGGGTACAAAAGCAGAGCAATATAACTTAGTACAAATATAACTGAGAGAAAAACTACAAATACCACTCCAAGAGAAAGCACAAAACTTTGCCTATATTTAGGGTTAGCAAGAAAATCTTGACTCATAATTTGTTTAAGCAGGCCCCTCTCTGGCTCATTACCCTGCATCCTCTTGCGTCTTATCGCAAGAATCCTCTTGAACTTTGGCTTTTGCCAGGAATAAAGGAGGGGTGGGGGAAAGGTTGTATCTGTATGTCTTGTTGGATAACAAGTCTTCTCATTTGTGTCTCACAAAATATTTACCTTGTGAGTCATAAAACTAACAAACTGAGGTATTCCGAAGTATTATCCTCATCAAACACCTCTCCTGTATACCAATCACATGCCTTGTTACTACCCTGCCCTTTTAAGTCAGTGCAAGCGGTGCTGAAGTAGCTCTCTTTAGGTTTCCACTTGAAGTTCAAATGTGCTGAAAATGAGCAGAGACTCTACAGAACTGGTTCAAGGAGTTCCTTTGACCCTCTCCCTTCTTCACTGCACATGAAGTCGTCTGCTATGCCAGAAATATATTCTAACCACCCCCCACCATCAATTAAAAGGGGGAAACCAGTTAGAAAGGTATTGTTAGTCTTCAGATAACCACAATGTCTTGTAGATGGGTTCCCACTGAAGAGTACACAAAAATTTACTTAGGCTGCAATCCGACACCTGCCCACCTGCAAATAAATTCCACAATGTGTGGGATTGTGTTGTTAGCCAAAAATGTATCAGAAAAATTTGTTTGATTGATAACTGGGACTGGCCTGTAGAAATATCTCTTACCAGATCTGAAACAATGTCCATTTGTGTGCAAAATTCAAAGTGATGGTTAATTACCTTTAAAGCTCTGCATGGCTTAGAACTCAGGTATCTGTCACTAACTTGCCCAAACACTAACTTAACCTTTCGAAGCCCTTTCCCAGGAATCCGCACCTTCAGAGATTAAGGTAGCAATGATTAGTAAAGGTTCTGCATTGTGGCTCCCCCACCCCCAGTTTGAAATGTTCCCCCAAGAAGCCTTGTGCTGGGAGTAAGACGGATGGTAGTCTTGGGCAGTAATTCCCAGAGACTGCTGGGCACATTCCAGATAATGATTCAGAATCAGAAAGTGAAGCACATGTCAGTGAGATTGGGAAGGATGGCCTAGGTCAAGATTCTGAGATGCGGTGGCAGCAGGAGGTTATTATCAAAGGCCGGGTGCTTTGCCGAGTCAGCTAACAGCCAAGATGCACCGTCCGCAGGAGGGGTCCCTGAGAATTCTCAGGCACAGAGCAGCTCCCCACCCTTGTGCCTGATCCCGTGGAAAAGAAGTCTCCATGTGCTAACAAAAGTACTTTGCATCCAGTGAAACACAGGGTGGTTTTTCAAGCTCAGCGCATCATTCATCTGAAATTCAGAAAACCAGCTCTTCTCTGTTCAAGACAAATAACCACAAAGTGCTGGTTTTCACATGAGTTTTCACATTATTGCTGGAATCCTAGAGCCACATGACCTGCACTAATGCAGCAACACTCGTACATCTCCGCTCAGGGTCGAACCTGTTTCAATCTGTCAGAAAGACCCTGGAGGGGAAGAGAATGAGCCTGAGTGTGCCACGAAGCGAGATCCTCACAGCCAAGGATCAAGGTCTCCCATCCGCCTTCCCTAACCCATGACTCTTTATTTTGGACTACAACTCCCAGCATTCCTAGACATGGGTCATGTTGGCTGAGGCAGATGCACAGTTCCAGAACTGTGAAATATCTAGAGGGCACAAGGTCAGGAAAGCCTTTCCTTCACTATCAGTGGGACTGCTCAGTCTTGGTATCTTGAAATGGCTGACAGTGAAAGGCAGTGAAGAAAGTCTGGCTGCTCCCTTTCCAAAGGTAGATATGGCATTTTTTCCCTAAATGAGATGCCCTCCTCACCTTTCACTGTTCTGAAATTCTAAAGCAGAAAGCAAAGGAGAATTAATAGCTCTTAGGAGAAAATTCATAATCCATGCAATGGGTCAGAATGAATTAAGTCTCACAACTGCTATTCCCAAGACACTCTTATCTTAATAACCATTATAACAAGAAGGCACGTGAAATGATTTTGGAACCTAAAATGTGCCCTATAAAATGTTACACATTTTCAGAAGTCTTCCTTCCTGCAGCTAACTGGTCGATTTGAACCACGCTCTCACAGAAAGCTATGAAAGATGCTTTCAATATAGCAGTTGCTAAAATGCAACAATAATTAGCTAACAGCCTTCCTTATTAAATTGCTATTAAGGAACCCTGGAACAAACACATAGATTTCATCCCAGACTGTATTGTTTGCTTTAGAAGCATTCCTTTTATCCTGTAATGGCAAATGGGCTGTTCACTGGCCTCATGATGGGGAAGGAGACAACACTCTCTGATGAAAAAGAAGAATGACTGAGAATGACAGCGCCACATGCAGAGATGAAAGTATTTGCACACAATCCAATCCTTGGTAAAGTACTGGCAGACTCCAGAGGCCATTGGGTGATGGGGGGCTTGGCAAGCTAGTCCGTCACACACTCTCCAGCTGTGACCTCCAGGAAATGAATATGACTCCCCTGCAGCTCTCCTCTGTTCAATTACAGATAGCCAAGGCTGCCCTGCTCTTATACAGGACCGACCATATAGCTGGTTTGAGGCTTCATGGGTCATGGTTTGGGCAGGGCGTGACAAAGAAGTAAAGTTCCCCACAAGGCCTGTATCAGTGCAAGTAGCATACACAGGGCATACATGTGGGGAACCTATTCCTGCCAAAGGAAAACATAAATGTCAGGGGAAATACAAAATGCAAGCATATTACTATCATGTGGAAACATGAGGGCTTGGATCCTGAGAAGCAACAGAAGGGAATTGGGGAAATGTGGCTTTTTAACCCCTCTTGCCTCTGAAGTCTCCTGGACAGGGTGGGATATGGGAATCGCTGAAAGCTGGACAGAAGTACCTCTTGTGAGTTGAAGCGGCAGCTCTGCCTCAATTTTGGCAGATTTTTTAATTTGGAGAAGCTGCTCAAGTGACATTATGACATGCAACATCTGAGACTACAAAGACTGAAAAAGGGGAAAAATGCTTTGAGAAAGTGATGGGTGCAAGGGGAAGGCTTCATGGGGGCATGAGAAAGGATGTAGAGGCAGGAGAAGCAGCATAAAAGGGTACAAGGGAAATAAGAGAATTAATTGGAGCTGGGACTATTGAGATTACTCTGAAACAGATTAATTAGTGAAAGCTTTTTCAGATGGAAGAGATGAAACACAGTGACAGGAGGTAAGCTGAGAGGCTGTTATAGTGAAGATGAGAAAAGAGCAGCATGTGGTGAAGACAAAAAAGTGAGGAGAGAGTATGTATATACATGTATACACATATATACATGTATATACATGTGTGCACACAGAGAGGTGGACCACAGGCAGAGAAATAAAGTGAACAGCATCAAAAATGTGAGGAAGAAACAGTATCATTAGAGGTAAACAAGGAGAAACAATTTGCTTAGTAAGATGATTACCTCTGCTGCTACAGAGGATAATATCAGAAGCATGTTTGGAAAATTAGTGGTTCAGGAATATAAAAAATAGTCTTATGACCCATAGAAAATACAGAAAGAATAAAGGAACTACAGAGAGAATACTGCAATACTTGCAGGAAGCAGAAAATATAAGTTTAAATGACATTCCAAAAAGTCAGAGAATGAGCTGGACTTCTACAATAAGTAGGTTGTGGTGGTGGCAAAGACAGAGAAGGTAGGAAAAGCTTAAGGAATCCATGACTGATAAAAATGGCAGATAAGACTTTTGGCTTTGTCAGTATCATGGCTTTGTTAAACCAAAGGCTAAAACAGATTTGTAGCACCTTTTTATTCTCCAATTATTTTAATTATCAATTATCTTAATTGTGACTTTTATACTCATCACTGGATGCTATACCATTTTTTATCTTATTTTATTTGTGCTTGTAAACCATCCCAAGACATCAGTAATGGGACAGCATATAAAAACTTTAAATAAAATAAAATAATAAAGATGAATTTCAGGACATAGAAAAGAAGTTACCTGAAGTTACCCTACAATTAGTTTTTACATTAATTTTGGGTTGTTTAACCAAAAACAACCCAAAATTCTGGATTTACACAACATGCCACAGTGTATGATTGGGCTGAGGTTCATTATTCTATGTAGAAGCAGCTCGTGCAGAGCATGATTTAACCCAGCTTTAAACCCAGATTTAAATAAACCAGCTTCATAAACCAGCTTATGGCTGTAAGTTGATGTAATTAAGTAAACCATAATTAGGACTAAATACAGATGAAAGACAAACTAAAGTTAGTCTAGAAAGCTTCTGTTCCCTTCCTTGCAGCCATGCTAGAGACTCTTCTAGAAAAGGAGCTGCTAAAAAGTTTGAGTTTCATTTATCTGATCATAAATCATGGTTTGTCTTTACAAACCAATGACTGTCCAAATACAGCCATTAAATACAGACCACATGGCCAAGGAGCTAGCAATGAAGGAGAGAGAAATGGGGCTGTAATTTCAATGGCAGAGTCTGAGCTTGTGTTAAGAGACAGAACTTATTACACAAAACCAACACAATCCCAGCTTTCTCAACTTAATTTGGAAGTGTTTATTTTAAAAGTCTGACTTGCATGCCCTAACAATAAAACTATCACAGCACCATTGTTTACATATTTCTAAGCTGTTTATTTGTTCTTCTATCTCCAAGTCCAAAGCATTTGCTGGAAGGAATATTCTCTTGGTTTTGGAAGCCAACACATGACTTTCTGGGCATCGTTTTATTATGTCCAGCTGCCCACCAGAGAACCCTGGAAAGAACTGGCTCTGACTCTACATTCTACGTGCTTCCCACACAGATCTCCAGGATGGTTCCCCTGCTATAGATGGACATCTGAACTAAAGAGTCGCCCATCCCCCTGTACGTTAAACATACACAGAAACATGGGAGTTGTTCGCTCCTTGAGTCTTCACTCTTAGCTACTTAACTCTTTACCAGAGATGTCCAACTCAACACAAACCTTATCCGAATGTAAAGGAATAAACATCAATAGCTAGCACAAGAATTATACTTTATGCCCTGGCCACCTTCCCAGGTCCCTTCCATATATTTTGTCCTCGAATAAACCATCAGCATACTATGGCCTAAAGTAATGTAAGTAGTTCAAAAGCAGCTCAGAATGGCTTTCAGTATTTGTTGACCACATATGAATATGCACAGATGGGCTGATGTGTCGGTATCAGGCAGCAGAGTAGGAGTAGAAGCAAACCGCATTGCCTCCCTCCACACAAGAGTCTGCCACTGCTGTTCCACCAGTCCTGCTCCAAATGCTGGGTCACTTACTGCGGTGTGTGTGGGGGGGGGGTGAGAGAGAGGGGTGGGTCTTTGGATTGGCAACAACTGCCGCTTCACTCACCCATCACATGCCGTGTGGCACATCCTCCATTTCCCTTTACAAGGCTCCTTGAGGGTTGGAAGAGCTCAGGCAAGCGGTCACAAGAGCCCAGCAACAAAGAAGGGGAAAAGGCAGCACCAGATGAGACGGGCAGGCCAGCCAGCTGCACATGCTCTTGCCCTCGGTGGCAAGATCTCTTGGCTGTGAGTTTGCTAACCTAACAGAAATGTCTTTGGCATGGAAAAGCAGCGCTTTACAGGTACAGGCATGAAAGAGAGAGAGATGCAACACAAGTCAGGGCAGCATCAGGACTGATCCCCGGCCAGCCCTTCATTCCCTGGGAAAGCTAGACTTTAGATCGGGGTTCCCAACCTGTGGGGTTGGTGGGTACTTAGGGCTGCTGCAAAGAATTTCCTACTTATGCAATGACTGTGATGAAGGGCATGGCTGCCAAAAATAAAAATAACCATTTCACAGAGGGCATGTTGGTGAGCTCAAAAGAAAAGTAGCTTGCCCAGGAATTTAGGTATATGGCAGAGATGCGGGCTGGCCTCCAAAGCACAATTCCACTGTTTTGAACCTAAAAAAAGATCTAGCTGGAGGCTGGCACTTTAGCTAGTACATGTTGACACCCTGCTTTTCTTAAATACAAAATTGTAAGAAATAAAGTAGAAAGCAGGGGAGGGAGGGTGCCAACCTGAGATGTTCTTCATATATTGAACTAAGAGGAATTCTAGGGCATTACAGATCATTTTTATTTTCCACTTCAAGCAAAACAGACGTTTACAATTTAACAGAGCAAAAACCAGTAGAAGTTTGCACTGGATTAGGACAGAGGAGACCCAGGTTCGAAACCCCTCTGTCATGAAGCTAACAGAGTGACTTTGGGATGGTCAGTCTCTCTCACCCTCGTGGAGTTATTGTGAAGATCTAAAGGAGTGATGAAAATGAAGGAGACAACCAGGTACCCTGCCTTGATCTCCTTGGAGAATATTCTATATTTAAGAAATAACCCGGTTAGCAGATAATCATGAAGTTATTTGAAAACTAAAACCTATTAGAAGGGAAACATCAATTCCTCTTTTCTTACCTGGAGATTTGATGACCAGCATACAGCAATAGTGCAGTTAGAAAATACAGGTAAAGTTGAACCAGGTGTTGTCTGGGTAAGGTTAGGAGCACAACACTTATGATGTAACCTGGAGAAGAAATTGAGATAATTCACATTTATGCATACACAAACTTTTAAGCAATGATTGTCATTCATTTTTATAGCATGAATTGGAAGTTATCACTTGCAATGATTAAAAAGAATAAAGAAAAATGGGTGCCCTTTGCCCAAAATGTTGCATAAGAGATCAAGAAAAAGTAATTTGTCATACAGGTAATAACATCCGCTAACCAGCCATTCACAAAGCACCAGCTACAAAGCTCATGATAACTTTGTATATACCTTTGTAACACAGAGAAGAGGAGAAATAAAAGAAAAACGCATGCTCACAATTTTATCATTCGTTCTATAAATGCACACTAAAATTAAATACCACATTTTTCAAAGAGCATGGCCTACATCTGTATATATGTCAAATCAAATCGAAATAGGTTAAAAACCCATTAGACTTTTATAAAATTTATAAAAAGATAAAGCAGAATTACAACAAAATGTTTGGAGACATCCTCAAGAGTTAACAAAATGTATCATGGCATAAATTTTCATGGACCAATCTACTTCAGCAGATGCATGAAATATACTTCTAAAATGGCAGGCATATGAGCACCTACAGTTGTGTAAGTCCATACACAGTATATGCTTAACATTATCAGGTTACACTTCAGGTTTCCAATGAACTGGACTCTAGTCCACAGAAGCTTATCCCATAATACGTTTGGTTAAATCTTTAAGGTACCACAAGATAAGCAGGTTGCTTACCTGTAACTGATGTTCTTCGAGTGGCCATCTGTGCAGTCACACAGATGGGTACTGCGCCTGCGCAGTGCCTGTGGCCGGAAGATTGACAACTAACGGTTTTTGGCGGGAAGCTCTGCTCCCCCTCCCCCTGTGGCCTATAAAGAGCGGAGCATCCGCCATTTTGTTCAGTCTTTGCGACCGAACGTACGCTATCTTATTGAAAAAACTTTGTTGTTGTTTTTGATGTCGGTAACGTGAAAAAGGGCATAGTCGGTACAGAAAGATGCATCCACTCACCGACACCGAGCGGGGCCAGTGGGTGGGTTGTGTGACTGCACAGATGGCCACTCAAAGAACATCAGTT